ACCAGCGCTACTTGTCACATGTGTGGATATCACGTGATATGTCACGTGACTAGACCTGGACCTTCGGGGCACCTAGGACTGTTAGTACTTTGCGTACCAGTTCGTTCCTTTCTGAACAGCCTAGTGCTGATGTCATATGATGTCCTAGTCACATGCAGATTGAAAGACGTGAAAATCTGTGACAGTACCCCCCCTTTTAGCTAGTTCGTCCTGAATCTGGCTTTTTTCTGGGTTTCTGGAAGTAATTATTGCCTGTTGAACCAAATCCACGGTGTCCTCGGGCTGAGGGTTTGAGGTAGTCAACCAGTGAAACGACAGGGGTGATAATACGTTCAATGATAAGTTGAGCGACTCGATCGCCCAAATTAACTGTGAAGTCATCATTTGTATTATTGATTAGCAAAATCTTGATTTCGCCTGTGTATCCTCTGTCAATTACACCAGCGCCTATGTCGATGCCTTTGACAGCTAACCCACTTCATGGCGCAATTCAACCATAGGTCCCTCGAGGTGTTGTAAAGTGAAGTCCTGTGGACACCAATCCTCTTGAATGTGCTCGGATGGTTGTTGGTTCTGATGCGGCTAAATCCATTCCAGCATCATCTTCATGGGCATATTTTGGTGCTTGTGCATTTGGATTGTCTAATGTAATTTGAAGATCTCTAGAATGATCCTAATCATCTCTATCTTGATCGTATATCTGAATGGTATCAGTGGCGGGGTCATAGACTTGACCTGTTCTCCTGGGTGGAAAAATGCCATCGACCGGAGTTGTATCAATGAGAGATATTGGTTGAGGTGCGTCAGGATATTTTCTGTGAAATTCCTTGATGAGATGTGGAGATTTCTTCAAATTTGCAGCGGGTTCCCAAGTCTCTTTGGCTTTAGAATAACCCTTCCAATGCACCAAATATTGAAGTTTGCCACGAACGACACGAGAGTCGACTATATATTTGACTTCTCATTCTTTGCCAGTCTTCTTTTTGATAGGAGAATGGGGTTTGAGTGTGTGGCCTGGTATTTCATCTTTATGGTAGAGCATGAGCTTGGATGCATGAAAAACTGGATGAACGCCGTATTGTCGCGACATTTTGAGTCGGTATGTGACTGGTCCTAGTTTTTCTACGATTTCGAAGGGTCCATCTCTCTGTTGTGCCAGTTTGGCTCCCGATGTCTGCCAATCTTTAGTGGAGAGTAATACTTGATCTCTAACTTTGAAAGGTGCAGGTCGTACAGATTGATCATAGTACCACTTCATACATTCAGCTGCCAATAGAATGGCTGCCTTCGCTTGCTCTTGCGCTTCTACTCGTGCCTGCATTATGGAATCTAGCATATTATGCTTTATGGGGTCCATTATTGTTGGTTCTGCATGTGGATGTCTACCGTATTCGACAAAGAATGGTGAATTCTTAGTGGCTTCAGAAGCCTGATTATTATAGGCGAATTCGGCAGTTGGCAGTAGTATACTCCAATCTTTCACGTGTCTGTCAGTATAGATACGGAGATATTGCTCCAGTGACTGATTTGTTCTTTCAGTTTGGCCATCGGTCTCCAGATGATATGCGGATGACATTGTTGATTGTATTTCAAGGAGTTTGCATACTTCTTGGAATAATGCGCTTGCAAACTGAGTACCTCTATCCGAGATAATCTGTCTCGGAAGACCATGCTGCGTCCATACCCTCTCATAGAAAGTACGGGCAAGGTCTGATGCTGAGAACTCATTGGTGATTGCAAAGAAGTGCACTCTTTTGGTCAAACGATCGACAACTACCATGATTGCATTGAATCCATGGGATTCTGGTAATTGGGTGATTAAGTCGACAGAGACAATTTCTCAAGGTTCTGTTGGAACCTCATTTGGCTGTAGTTCTTAGTATTTTAGCTGATTGATGTTCTTGTTGCGTTGACAAAGGTCGCAAGAACCAACATACTTTTTGACGTAAGTGGACATTCCTGGCCACCAGTAGTTACGAGATAACATCTCATATGTCTTCCATCTTCCAGGATGACCTGCACTGGTGGCTTCATGATGACGCTGGACAATTTCTCATCTAAGTGATTCCTTATTATCTGCTTTCGGCACATAGACTTTGCCTCGGTATAGTAATATCCCACTTTCGAAGTTCCAGTCTTTGAGTCCTTTTGAGAACTCTCGTTGTCCTTTCTTGAGTAGGTCTTGATATGAGTTGTTCACATTGTCATCTTGTAATGATTCCTTGATCTTGTCCACTAAATCATGATCCATGACGACTGCAAGGTGGGTATGTTGAATAGCTTTAATCATGAAATATTCCGGTTTGAGCAGAGTTTTGTCAGAATTATTGAGCTTTACCCCCTCTTCATGATCTGGCCTCCTGGACAGAGGATCAGCATGATGCATTGATTTCCCTGGTTTGTGATGTAGTTGGATGTTGAATCGTGTAAGATATAGCGATCATCGAGCTTGCCGTCTCATCAGCTTTTGTGCTGATTTGAAATAGGTTAAATTCTGGTGATCGGACCATATTTCTACTGGGAGCGGATGACCTTCAAGATGTTGTCGGTATTCTTCCAACGCTTGAATAATTGTGAGCATCTCTTTGTCATAAATTTCATAGTTCCGCTCAGCCTCATTGAGGCTTTTCAAATAGAATGCGATTGGATGCCACAATCCATCATCTTTGAGTTGTTCAAGGCATGCGCCAGTGGCAAAATCGCTGGAATCTGTTTCTAACCGGAATGGATGAGTATCATCCGGTAACGCCAGAATTAGAGCTGAAGTAAAGGCATGTTTGAGAGCCTCAAATGCCTGTTGTTGTTCTTCACCCCATACCCATTTCTGATCCTTTCATGTAAGGATATTGAGTGGTCGAGACTTTTTGGCAAATCCTTCAATGAATCGACAATAGAAATTAGTGAACCCAAGGAAAGCTTGTACTTGCTTAACCCTTTTAGGTTCAGGCCAGTCGAGTACACCTGTGACCTTTTGAGGGTCCATAGGGACCTCGCCTTTAGAGATAATCATCCCTAAGTAATCAATCGAAGGTTGTTTGAAAAAGCACTTTTCTGGTTTGGTAAAAAGGTCGTTGTCCCGTAATCTTTTAATTACCTCTTTGGTAATCTTTCGATGTTGTTTCAGATCGTTGGTGAAGATTAAAATGTCATCAAGGTAGATGATCACATGACCTTCCCGAATAAGATCATCTAAAATCTCATTCATCATGTGCTGGAAGGTGGCTGGTGCGTTACAGAAACTGAAAAACATAACTGTGGCTTCATATAAACCGCGATGCGTCACAAAAGCTGTTTTTCATTCATCACCCTTGCGGATGCGAACATTGTTGTATCCCCATCTGAGATCCAGCTTGGTAAATATTGACGCATTACTGAGCTGATCGATAAGCTCGCTTATTCATGGAATAGGAAAGCGATTTTTCTTGGTTATAGCATTAAGTTTTCGGTAGTCTTGTACCAGTCTTAGCGTGCCATCTTTATTTTTGACAAAGAATACCGGGGCAGCAATAGGTGATTTCGACTTTCGAATGTAGCCTTTTGCTAGGTTTTCGTCGATCCATGAATCTAGGGAGTTTCTTTCCTCTGGATTCATAGGATATAGTTTGCTTGGTCATGGTAATTCATGTTCTTCTTCAAACTCGATTGCATGATCGTAAGGCTTTCGAGTTGGCATCCTTTCAGATGCTTTCTTGGAGAAGACATCACCAAATGAATGTAGATAATCCGGTACTAATTTTTTCCAAGATTCTACTTCATTAATAATCTGATCTTCTGGGCTGCCAGTGTTTGACTGGGGTGCCGCTTCTTTCAGGTCTTCTTCTGGTTCAGCATAGCTGCAATCTGCTATAGAAAGTATTATGCAGGCTATTTGTTCGGCTTCGGGGTCGTCCATTTCGACCCACGAGATTATAGGATTTACTGCATCGATGTTGTGTCCATTAAACATTCTGAATGCAGTTGGCTCCTCATCTGCCACTTATTGTGCTTGTTGCAAGATTTCTTCAGCTTCCTCTCTCGCAATGGCTTGTTGTTTTTTTATGAAGCCTCTGGTGGTGACACGTACTCAGACATCGTGAGTATTTCCATTCTCCAGCTTGCCAGTTGATTTCTGGATTATGCTGATGTAAGTATGACATCTCAATGATCATGTCTAATTTCCCGATGTCCGTGACTAGCAGACAGTGGGTGGAACCATGATCTCTGACTTTGAGGTATGCTTTTACATAGTCAGTTATTTCGCCATGTTTGTTTTGAGATCCGTCAGCATTGTACACCTTGTACATCGTATTAAGCTTGGAAGTTGCGATTCGATTGTTCTTTACGAATTGCTTGCTGATGTACATGGAATATGCTCCTGAGTTGACTAAAGCTTCGGCACTCGATTTTTTGCCGTACACCCATAATGTAACTGGTAAATAGAATGATGATAAATTTGGAGACAAATTCTTTATTGTTACATTATTATCCTCTGCGTTGCAATGATCTACAGAGGTGTCTGATCCAGGTGCTAAATGTACAGGTCTTATATAATGTTCTGGGGACTCTGATGAGCTGCCTACAGATCCCCTTTGAGAAAACCCTTCCGATCCCTTTTTGAAGAGCCCTCTTCCGCCTTCCTTGATAAACTGGATCCATTTGCCCTCTGGCACCTGAGCCTTGAGAGGATCGTGGCAAAATCTTTGTCTGACTCAGATGCATCAGGCTCGCTTTCCGAGTGGATGCTGCGGTCACTAATATGCGCAGCTGTCTCCTTACCCTTCCCCTTAGTCTTAAAGGAAGAGCTCTTCTTCTTTTGCTTCTTCTCTTCTTCAGTGTCAGAGCTTTCGCTCTCTGCATCTGATGAAGTGGAATCAGATACCACCTGTCGCGTCTTGGATGACTTTGACTTCTTCTTGTCATCGTCCTTTTTCTTCACATCCTTCTTCTTCGCAGCTGTCTCTTTCTCCTTCTCAATCTGCCTCTTGACATGGTCCAATTTGAAACAATCGGTGCAATACTTGTCAAACCGTTTTGATGATTTGAAGAACATTGGTTTGTTCTTCTTGCAGTTGGCACAAATCAACTTGTCATCTTGTACGCTTCGCGCTTTGCCCGATTTACTCTTCCCCTTCTTTCTGACTGCGTCAACCTCCATAGCATTCGGGTCCTTGGTTTCGGCCTTGGCATGGTGGCCTTCTCGTTGTAGTGATGTAAATATCTGAAGTGCGAATGTAAGGAACTCGGTCCATTTCTTGGGCCAGTTGTCCTTGGTCGTGTCTGCCAGCATGAGCAGCCATGTTTTCTCTGGAATATGTTTCTTGATCTTTTCGATCAAGTCCTGATCCGAGAAGCCTGTACTGGTTGCCTTTGGATGGAAGTCTTCTACGAACTTTCAGAAGTTTCGATGATCCTTCTTGACGAAGGCTTCTAACTCCGTTCGCTTCTTGTCATCCTTGTCCAATGATTCGTATGCTGTGCGAAGTTCAGTGATGAACTCTGCCCAAGTTCCTGGTGCCTTGTTATTTTCGTTTATATCGGTAATCCAATGTCGCATGTATTCACGTGCTCCTCCTTTCAGGAGCAAGAGGGTAGACATAATTTTGGACTCGTCTTTGGTATGTCCAGTATATTTCAACCAGAGCATTACTTGTTTGAGCCAATCATCGAGATTGACTCCGTCCTTATGGCCACCATACTTTTCTGGCTAGTCAATTTTTACGCCTTTACCCTTGCAACCAAACGACGGCTCATCGTCATCGTCCGTGTCGTCGACATTGTTACCACCTTGCCCTGCCTTCTTTCCCTGAGTGGATGCCCATGCGTGAAGTCAATCATGTGATTTCTTTAGGTCTTCTGTCCTTGTTTGATGATCCTTGACTTCATCGTCAAATGCCACCAACGACTCGTTAATGGCCTTGTTGTCCTCAGCTAAAGCTGCTGAGGTTTTCTCCAAGTCTGCGATTTGAGACTCAGATTGTTGGCGATGTTGATCTAAGAAGACCGTGCGATTGTGGAATTTGGTGGTGCTTTGTTGAGCGCGTTCTGCTTGTTGATTAATTAGCAGTTCATAATACGCAACAGTTTGTTGTCGCATTTGCTCCACCACATTGGTGACGAGATCGACTGCCCAATTTTTGACATCATTGGGTATTTGGGCAGTGGGGGGTGCGGTGTCAGTGAGGGCTTGCTGAACAACAGGATTAGGTGGTTGTAAAACAATATTGAGTCATGCGGGAAGCTTCGGAGATGGAGCACGAGAGAAGCTTGGATCATTTGGGATGGGGGTCACCATATTACAATTTCTCCTCTACTTCACGAAGATGTTCTTCAAACTCGACGATATGTCTATTTGCGATCATGGCCGATCAGGCAATTACTCGTCCTGAGTGCTGGTTTCACAGCAAATAAAGGTCTTGGTATATGACCTTGATGAAGGGTTGCCACAAAAACCTAGTTTTGTCCCTGACTGCGGGCCACTGGTGATTATGATGAATTTCGCAAATACGCTTGGCTTCTTCGAGCCAATCGACGAAGCTATTGTAAGCTTCAGTGAGATGATCTTCAGGTTCTTCAGTTCCAATAGAGATATAGCAGATATGAACTGTGACGTTCCTCCAATCAAATTCGGGATAGATATGAAGGGCGTATATATGATATACGTCGTGGTAGTCGATGTGAAACGTATCCTCGTATGTAGCAAACGCTTCGCCTGCTCTGTTCTGGAGAACTCATGGAATTGAATCCCAAAGATAGTCAAAGGTGTGACCGATTGGACTGAGGTGCTCGAAGTTGTCAAGATTGTTCGAATCGCCAAATGAAGACATATACAAAGTAACTATTCATATCTACAGCAAAGGTCGCCCTGTGACCTGTATTCCTAGACGATATTTCTGGATAATATCTGTGATTATCCAGCGAGCTTCTCCGCTCTGATGCTTTCTCTCCTGGACATAGTTGCAGAAGTCGCGAACCACGTGTTGGTGAACGAAGGAAAGCTTGAATTCTGCGATGTCAGTGCAGATGGATTTGAGCTTGAGTATGAGATGCTCGAGGTCGAAGATGTCGTGGTCGTCAAGTTGACGACGGTATCGTTTGGTGAGTAGGATACAAATTTGTTGAAGGGTGCCTTCGATGCGCTGAGTCGAGATTATGGAGATTGCGAGAGGATAGATGAAATGAGACCCAGTAGGGGTCTCGATGTATGTCCCTTGATTGAGATCTGGACCAGATGGTCCTGCAGGTAGACTCGGTTGCCTGACTGAGGGAGTCTGGATGACAGAGACTGAACTTGTGCCATGAGGGGGCCGACCTCCAGTAGAAATGTGTCCTGGCCTTGGCAGGGGTCTTATGGGCCACTGCTCGTAGAACTCTTCTGAAGTTCTCGCTCAAGGATGATGGATGACACCATCGATGCTGCGCAATGCCTTGGTGTGGCTTACGCTGGTAGAGTCAGCATCTGCTGGAGAGGCAGGTGAAGATATGACACCACTAACATGCGGGTGGACATGCGACGATGCAACACTGCGGTGAGTATGCTGGGCAGGCACTCGAGGCAGGTAAGATAAGCAGACTTATTCTTCTATCACAAACTTAGGGCGCAGAGCACTGACTAAGCCTATGACCTTATGATCAAACACTTACTGACTGTTGTCGAGATAAGGATGGACACAAAGGTGATCAAGGTAAAGCAGCGCCTTGCAAG